AGTCAATATTTTTGACCGAAATAATTTTAGATCAAATTATTATGTTAAATATCTTTTAATCGAACTAAAGCATATTTCAATCATAATCCTTGACCGAATTATGATTTCTTTTGGTCGAAATATTTTGTCCAAAATAAAGCTTTTTTTTAGTAGTGTTACTTTAAGGCGATTCAAGCCTCTGTAAAGAATAGATCAATCAATATAGCAGAGATATATATAACATATTGCCCCTAAAATGTTACAGTTTAATAGTTATATTCTATGAATCTACACTATCCATAAAGTCACCAAATTGAAAACATCCTCCTTTACCCAAAAATATTGTGAAGATAGAGTAAGGTAAGAAAGTAGAATAATGTGGAGGAACTCTCTTTGTTGAGTAAAAAGACATGTTTTATTTATAAGACTCATGGTCTTATAACTCCTATTTGTAAGTTAATGATAAGAATAAATAGGGCAATTATTATAAAATAATGTGCCCTTAAGTAAAGTAATTAACTTGTAATGGTTAGTTTGACCAAATCTTTAATGGGACAATAAATTCAATTTATAAAATATATTATTTTATTTTTTATTAAAATATTTAAGTTCCAACAATTCCCCCATTATTTTAATAAAAAATAAACTTTTCTTATGAGTAAAGATGGATTATTATGCATAATAAAGGTAGCTAAGCCTTTAACCTTTACTTAGTCAATAATTCTTAATCCAAAGTCAATAGTGAACTAAGTCTTCAACTATGACTCCATTGGAAGATACAAGAATTGCAACACACACATAATTATCTGAATGTTGAGTTTTTTCCACATAGCTGGCGCATTATGGCCTTGCGCATGATCTTGGTTTTCATGGGTGATGTAGAAAATTGTCCATCCAATTTTTATAGAAGTGGCCTCACTTCGACACCCACATAGGTGAAATTTATCAAGGGTGCTCCCATAACTAAGACACCCCACTCTATGAGCTACAAATTTCATTAAGAGTATAAAACTCAACCCTCAATTCATTATGGAATAGATGCATCCTCACCTTAGGAATGGGACTTCAAATTTTTTCATTAAATTTGATGCTCTTTCAACAATGACTTCTCTACGATTCGTTTTTCCTATTCAAAACCCAATTCTTAGAATTCGGGTTAGGTATCATCATAGGAAGTTCTACATTATTGGACTTGAATCCTATTCCCCTCGATGAGCACTAGACCTTGGACTATGATCATAGATTTTCCTCCAACTTTTCTCTTTACCAAAGGCCTAGTTGGTAGTAAAGTGGGTAAAAAATGGATTCAACTCATTCTTCTTTTCTCACTTTTTCACATCAACCCACATGTCTACTAGCTCATAAAATTCACATTCATATTTCTCAAATTCTCAATTCAAGGTACCACAATTTTGATATCAAATCAAGCTAGTGAACCACCATTTTCTTTTCATTCATGTCAAGACGTGTTTTAGAATTTTTAACTCAAACACCATTGTACCTTATTGTACAATAGGAATGTTCATGATAGCATCTCCCTTCTATTCAAGTAAAGTGCCTTATTCTTTTTCATCATACATCATTATACCATAATTGTATAATAAGAGTGCATATTACATTTGCTTTGTTAAGTATCGTTATACCTTATTGTATAATAGGAATACTATACAAAATTTCAATGAGGCACCATTGGTCTTATCACCAATAATAATACATAAGGATATCATAATAATCCCCCATATTAGGAACATCTCAAATATGTGATTTTCACATTTCTCAAATAATTGAGTTCATGAAGAAACTCATTTACTCACAAAATTTTGTAAGAGTATATTAGCTCATCTCACATTTTACCACCACAAATGGCTCCTCAGTCACGCGAGTTTAAAAAACTTAACTTATGTGTCCGGAATATATCAGCCCAAATTTCAAGTCCATTTTTTCAAAATTATTGCATGGACCAAATTGCCAGCTCTTTCCTCTAGCCTTTTCCAATTTTCAATTTGGTTCTCAAAATTTACATCTGCTTTATCAAAAAAAACTCAATAATATGATTAATTAAATTCACAAATTATTCATAAATTTTTTCCTTCATAGCTATTGGAAATGAACCAAATATTTGCCATATGCATTAAGAGCAAATAGTTAGCTGCTAATTCTTATAAATATAGCCTTTATAGCACTAGTAACGGCCAAAATGCACCATTAATCTATTAATTAAGTAGCACAAATTTAATATGTATTTAATATCAATGGCTAACAACATGAAGTGCTAATTTTTCATAAGAATTACGCTTAGAAGGCTATTGAATTTCACAAGAATTAGTTAAATCAAATTATTGGCAATGCATTAAAAACAAACAGCTACATCATTTTAATGTGTTCATAATCATGCAATAAGCAAGTGAAAAAATTATATATAAATGCATTTAATTAATTTTTACCATTGGAAATAAATTACACAATAAATATATTCTAATTAAAGCCAACAATAGCCATAAACGTCCATGTCAAAACACCCAACTAATAACTACATTCATGTTGAAATTTATTAGCTACAAACACAACTCCTTAAAGATAGCATTATGGTATACTGATTTCACATGCCAGGTTTTTCCTCTTTTTTCTTTTTAATGTTGAAAATGTCTCATAAATTAAGGAGTATCGCAGTAGCAAAAAGAGTACATATTGGCATGCATTTCTCAATGGCAAAAGTAAAGAAAGTATTGTACGGTATCCTCAAAAAAATTTTTTTTAAACTAGATTTGTACCAAGAACTCATACCTATTTGGCGCATATCTATATTCAAGAAAATCAAAGTTTTCTATTATGCTTACACAAGGCCTCATATATTTTATTTTGTGCTTTGCATGTTGAATCGCCTTAAAATTGTTGTTCCTCAAACACTCTTCCATCTCCATATCATGTCATTGTTGTGCATTGGTCATAAGATCAGATAAAATAATAATTAGTGAACTTATCAAGAAATGTTGATAAGAAAATAAAATCGAAATAAGTGTGAAAAGTTTACTTACTTTAAAGCAATTCACGTCTCTACGGAAGTAGATCAACCAGTGTAGCAAAGATCTATATAGCATGTCGCCCTCAGAATGCTACAGCTTTATAATTACATTATATGAATCTGCATTAACCATAAAGTTACAAACTCAAAACATCCTCCTTTACCCAAAAATATTTGAAGATAGAGTAAGGTAAGAAAGTAGAAGAATGTGGAGGAACTCTCTTTGTTGAGCAAAAAGGCATGTTTTATTTATAGGACTCATAGTGTTGTAACTCCCATTTGTAGGTTAATGATAAGAATAAATTGGGCAATTATTATAAAATAATATGCCCTTAAATAAGGTAATTAACCTACAACGGCTAGTTTGACCAAATCCTTAATGAGACAATAAATTTAATTTATAAAATATATTATTTTATTTTTTATTAAAATATTTAACTTCCAACACCTAGCACATAACCCACAACATTAAGTCACTTCTTTAACAACAGAAAGCAGGAAAAAGAAGTGCTTTGAGTTCTAGTTTCTATAATGTTATTGTAGAATTGGTCTCCTTATGGGAGGCTGATGTATTGAAAAAAAAGAAATTTGTGCATTTTAAGGACCTGTTTGCAAGTATTTTGCCATCACGTGGTGTGAGAAAAGTTGAAAATAAACATTGTATTTGAATGCATAAACATCCAAGAGTTTTTATATATCCTTACTAGAAAACACTAATCTATAATTACAGCTTAACAACTCATTAGAAGATTTTAAAAACAAAAATGTTTCATTCTTGCACAACTTTTCTATATGAAGGGGCATGCTCCCTCCTCTCAATCACAATATGAATAAAATGACACTAATAAACATGTAAATTAGAAAACACAGCAAACCTAAACATTAATGGAGGAATTACAATTTTAAGAATACCAACCAATTGTAAAAAATAAATTAAAAAAAAAAACTTGAAAGAGATTCATCAAAACTTAAAGATTAAGAATTAATCCTCTCTCTTTTTTCTTATTATGAAGCATTTCAAACTAGAACATCTTTAAGCCAACAAAATTTAAAATTTTAAAAATGACCTTAATTAATAAGAATTGTATTTTACTGTTTGGATATTAAATATTGAAGATAAGCAATAGGATAATGATTGGTATACCCTTTGATTCAACATACTTAACAATACTCATTGGTTCAGTAATTAAAAAATTAATATTTTTAAATTTAAATTTAATATGAGAAAATTTTCAAAGGCAAATTTTAATTATTGAACCAGTGGGTGTTGATAGGTGTATTGAATTAGAGCATGTATCAATCATTTTCGAAAGTAATAAGTTAGTGTTGTCCTTAGTACCTGGGGAGCCATGTTTTTTTCTTAGAAATTGCAGAGTTGTGTTGCATCTGTCTAAACCTTTTTTGGGAGAAGAGGAATTGAGATGATGGTTGTAGAAGTCAATTTCGGAGAAGAGGAGAGAGTGCTGGCTACTGGGGAAGTTTCCCGCGATTAACCGGTTGAGATTGGAGGACGTGGGAATGGCAAGGGTTAAGCTATATATTGGATTAAGGTCTGAATCATTTAGGAAACATGATGAGAGAGAAAGATAGAGAGAGAGGTAGGGCTCCGGACAATAGACGCAGATCACGGACCAGATGGACAACACTGGGCAGAGAGTTCTCTAAAACAAGAGGGAGAAGCAAGCAAAGGTGATCGACAGCAGCTTGGCAAAGGGAACAAAACAAGTATCAAAATCAGAGTACATACAAGGAATAGGGGTATGACAGAGGGATGTACAAACAGGCCACTGCATTCTTCTTCACCAACTTTCCAGAGGAATGAAGCTATGAAGATATGTGGAAAACTTATGGGAAGTTTGGAAGGGTTCTCACAATATACAGCTCATAAAGAAGGAGTAGGAATGGTGGAAGGTTTGGTTTTGTCAGGTTCCTGGATGTGAAGAATAGCAAGGACCTAGAAAGACAACTAGACCAGATTTGGGTTAAAGGAAGAAAGATTTGGGTGAATTTAGCAAAATACCCAGAGGTAGAAAGGCTAAGATAAAAGTACCGAGTGGGGTTGAACACAGTTATTATTGACCAGGAGAGAACGTTTGCAGATGTAGTAAAAGGAAAACAGGGGGATAATATGGGGAACACCAGGGGTGAGCCGATGGAAAGGGTAGATTCAAATGCTCTGGGCAAGGGAAAAAGTATAATGAGGAATGGACAGGAAGAGCAGAGGCAGGTGTGGAAGATAAAAAATAGGGAAGAGGAATGGAATGGCATTGAGTTTAATGTACAAGAAGGTGAATATGAATGGTTACAAGGTTGTTATGTGGGGACTACACATTCAGTGCAAATAGTCCCAAATTTGTCAGAGAAATTTTTCATGGAGGGGTATTTTTCTTGTCGACTACGGGCCATGGGGGGCAAACTTGTCCTCATGGATTGTGAAGACAAGGAAGAACTTAAAGACTTAGTATATGATGGAGCAGATTGGTTGAGCCAATGGTTTTCTAAGGTAAGACCATGGGCACCATCCATGGTGGCAAGTGAAAGGTTCGTATGAATGAGATGTCAGAGGGCTTTGCATGCTTGGGGTCCTGATTTTTTTACTACCATGGCATCTGTATGGGGGACGTTCATCTGCCTAGATGATAGCACAAGCAAGAGGAAAAGGTTTGATATAGCTAGATTCCTCATCTCCACAAAGTGTATGGATCCAATATCAATTCAAAAAGTAGTTAAAGTCAATGGAGTTCTATATACTTTGAAATTCATAAAAAAGGAACTAACAAATAGGTTGTTCTCCTTAAAACAAGATTTATGCCAAAATTCCTGAGCGAATCAGAGCATGAAGACTCATGGTCACTTAGTAATAGTGATTATGGGGACAACTAGCAGGATGTAGATGAGGACACAAAGCAGATGCAACGTGAGCCGATTAACATTGAAGAAGACGACGGAGGAAAGTCACAGCGTTGCAAAAGGGAAGCTAGAGGATGTGCCATCCTTGTAGATAATGAGGTCGAGTTAGCTTCTAACAAACACAACTTCTCTATAGGTGGAATTAATGAAAGGTATGGAAAATCCCAATCTTTACTCAAAGATAAAGAAAC